TTGGCGTCCGCGCCGGTGCCGGTGCCTCCTGCCTCCTCTTCTCGCTTCTCCCCGGGAAAGTTGGGACGCGGCGAGACGTCGAGGTGAGAGATTCGATCCCCGTCGCTCCCCTAACGCCACGCTCGCGACGCGCGTCCGGCGGCCACGCTCTCCTCCCACGGGCCTGAAATCACGCGAACCGGGGGGAGATGGTCGCAAAAAACCCACCCGGGGCGAAGGACGGTGCCGAACGCCCACGTGGGTGCTCACCAAATCCTCCCCCGCCCCGGTTCACGTCGCGCGTCCTCCGTCCTGCCTCAATTTCTCTTTTTCCAGCCATGAAAACACCCGGGCGCGGGGTTTTATTCACGAATTTCCACGTAGATTCGTGGCGGGAGGGGTGATCCGCACTGGCAGGACCGCGGCGTTCCCAGGTCGGGGCAAAACAGGACGAGTGAAGGGTTCAAATCTGATTTTTCTCAATTCCTGGTCAACGAGAATAAGAAAAATTTCGCTGATCGTGCGATTTAAAAAAAAAAAAAAAAAAAAAAGGTAAATTTTCTCCCCCCCCGCCACGCCGCGGGGCAAAAATGCGGCGAGAAGATCCTGGCTGGTATTTTAAGGAGAAACCGTTCCCTCTTGGCTGCTTCATCCATTTTATCGGGGATTTGTTTTATTTTTTTTCTTGAATTTTGGCAGAATTGTCCCCGTTTCGCGGGAGCCGGGATGAAGCCCTCCCTCGTTTTCCTGCTCTTGACCTCAGGTGGGTCGCGTGGGTTTTTCTCCTGAGGACGCCATGCCCGGGGGGGAGTCGGTTCCCGGGCTGACATTTCCCACCCTGCTCTCTTCTCCAGGAGCTGCCACCGGCGTACAACTGGAGCAAGAAAAAAGTGAGAATTTGGGTTTGCAGGGTTTTTCACTAAAAAACGGTATTTCCACCTGAACGGGAAGCGGGAAGCGAGCGGGGCTTCCTCCCTCCCCAGCTGCACATATGTGGAAATCAGATGTTCCGATTTTGAGCCGTTTGTCCTCAAATCCGTGACCCCCCCGGGGGAAATTCCCTCCGGCCCCGGTTTCACCCCAACTTTTGGACGCCCCGACCCCGATTTTAGGTCACCTGCAGCACCCTCCCCGTTTAAAAATCAAAAATCCCAAACTCGGCAGGCTTCACCCCAAAAATGCATGAGGTCGGGGGGGTTTGGGGTGGGGGGGGACCCCCCAACCCCTCCGCCTTCGCCTTCCCGCAGTCCCCCTGCTCTACCCCTACGGCCCGGACGAGCGCGACCAGAAGAACCCCAAACTGGACGACGGGACGTCGAAGCCCCTCGCCCTCGCCGTGCCCTTCACCTTCTACGGCAAAGAGCACCGGAGCCTTTACGTGCGTCGGCCAAAACTCTGCGTCCTCCTCGTGTGTGTCCCCTCCCCCATTTCCCAACATCCCCCTCTTCTTTCCACCCCCTTTTCCACCCCATTTTCTCGCTTGCCCCCCAACAAAATCCAGTTGCCTTCATATGATGGGTTTTTTCTTCTGGTGCATTGGAGCATCCTCGTGGGATTGGTGGGCGTTGGGTGGAGGTCTCCACCCTTCTGGAGCGGCAGTTGGGAGATCCGTGGCCAAGGTTCGGATGTCACATCCCCACCCCCCCCACCCCACTTGCTCCCGTGTCCGTCTCCACGGTGCCACCACCGAGTCGAGGTGCTGACCACGCGGCAGGGTGCCGACACAGGTCGCCGCCAGCTCGGGGTCGACCCGGTGTCTTTCGCAGGTCAACAACAACGGCGTGATTTCCTTCGGCGCCCGGGTCAGCCAATACACCCCCGACCCCCTCCCCTTGGCCGACGGGCGCTCCTTCGTGGCGCCGTACTGGGGGGACGTCGACAATGTCCTGGGAGGGGATGTCTTCTACCGAGAGACCACTGACCCAAAGCTGCTGGCACGCATCACCGAGAACATCAACCAATACTTCCCGAAGGTCCCCTTCACCGCCACGTGGGCTTTCGTGGCCACCTGGGACCACGTGGCCTACTACGGCTCTACCACCAACAAGGTAAGGTCCACGGTCACTACTTGAAGGTGAAATGTGGTCACACCCATGTGTTGGCCTCCTGACCCATGTGTTGGCCTCCTGACCCATGTGTTGGCCTTACGACCTTCTCCTGGACTCTCGTGACCCACGTGGTGGTCTTACGACCCACTTGTGAGCTCTCATAACCCACTTGTTGGCCTTACGATCCACTCCTGGGCTCTCATGACCCACGCGGTGGCCTTATGACCCACTCCTGGGCTCTCCTGACCCACCTGTTGTCCTCATGACCCATTTGTTGGGCCTGCAACCCTTTCGTTGGCCTCATATTCTATTTATTGGTTTTCATGACCCACTCGTTGGGCTTTGTGACCCACTCACTGGCCTTCATGACCCACTCATTGGCCTTCGAGATCCACTCATTGGTCTTCATGACCCACTCGTTGGCCTTTGTGACCCACTCATTGGCCTTCGAGATCCACTTATTGGTCTTTGAGATCCACTCCTTGGTCTTCATGACCCACTCGTTGGGCTTTGTGACCCACTCGTTGGCCTTCACGACCCATTCGCGGCCTTCACGACCTACTTTTTGGGCTCCTGACCTATTTGTTGACCTTACAATCTACTTCTTGGCCTCTGTGACCCATTCCTTGGCCTTCACGACCCATTTGTGGCCTTCGCGACCCCATTCCTGACCCATTTGTTGACCCATCCATTGGTCTTTACCACCCATCCATTTGAGGTGAGCTCGTATCCTCTGGTCCTTCCGTCCTACCTGCCAGCCCGATGGGCACACAAAACCCCATGGAGCTTCTCCGCTATCCCCAGGTGCCAATACGCAGGTGTCCCACCAAACTTTTACTCCCCACTTAATTGATGGGGGGGGGAGGTTCAGTGTCGAAAGCCACCTTTTCTACCGTGCTCTTCCTCTGGCCACCTCGTGCAGAGAAAGAGGCTGTGGTAGAGCACCAAAAGTACTCATCTGAAGGTAGACACCAAAAAAAGCCTGACCAAGGTGGCTTCCCGGCACAGCTCAAGGCAAGGAGCCTACATCCGTGCGTTAAATCCCACCCACACCTGCTCATCCCACCACTGATGGTGTCACCTCCTCCTTCCTTCCCACAGGGCAACACCTTTCAAGCCACCCTGACCACCGACACCAAGAGGTCCTTCATCATCCTCAACTATCACGATATCCAGTGGACCACGGGGGTAGCAAGCGACGGTGACCCTGAAACGGGTCTCGGCGGCACCCCGGCCCATGTAGGTGGGACCGAGGGAACCATGGAGGGAGATGGGACAAAAGGAGCTGAGGAATAGGGGAGAAGGTTGACCAGTAATGGGGTTCTTTTGGGACACCACCACGTTTGCTGCAGGTAGAACTTTGGTCCACAATGTTTTTTGGGGAAAACGCCACTGAAAGTAGGACTTTGGCCCATAATTGATGTTTTTGATGGCCCATGATGGTTTTTGGGGACATCATCAGGTTCATTCAAGATTGAAAGTTGTCCTGGACCTATCTGGGGGAACAACAATGCCAATGGTAGGATGGTGGCCCACAACGGTTTTGGGGGGAAACATCAGGTTGATTCAAGGTAGGAGGTTGTCCTGTGCCATCTTCTGGGGAAGACAATGGTGAAGGTTGGAGGTTGGCCCACAACATTTTGAGGAGAAATGGTAGTAGGTTGTCCCATGCCATCTTCTGGGGATGATGATGGAGGTTGGAGGTTGGTCTGTAACGTTTCTGGGAGGACAACGCCAGGTTTGGCGAGGGTCAGAAGTTGGCCTGTAATGTTTTGGGGGATGACATCAGGTTGACCAAAGACAGGAGGCTGGCCCACAACATCTTCTGGTGGCCATGTGGAAGGTGGGAGGTTGGCCCACAACATCTTCTGGAGACCACGTGGAAGGTGGGAGGTTGGCCTACACATATTTTAGTGGCCATATTGAAGGTAGGAGGTTGGTCCACATGTTCTGGTGGACATGTTGAAGGTAGGAAGTTGGCCCACAACATCTTTTGGTGACCATGTTGAAGGCAGGAGGTTGGCCCGTGAGATCTCCTTGTGACCATGAGGAAGGTAAGAGGTTGGCCCACAACATCTTTTGGTGACTGTGTTGAAGGTGGGAGGTTGGCCCACACATTTTTTGGTGGCCATGTTGAAGGTAGAAGGCTGGCCCATGACATCTTTTGGTGACCATGTGGAAGGCAGGAGGCTGGCCCACGACATCTTTTGGTGACCGTGTTGAAGATAGGAGGTTGGCCCATGAGATCTCCTGGTGACCATGTGGAAGGAGCGAGGTTGGCCCAGACTGTTTTAGAAGACCACCACCAGGTTCACCGAAGATCAGAGGCCGGCCCAGAACTTTTTTGGGGCACACCACCACCGCCAGCAGGAGGTTGTCCCACCCCATGAACCCCACGGGTGGTCTTCACCCTCCGACCCCTCCATTTGACTTCCCTTTCCAGGCCGGTTTCAACAGCGGAGACAAAACCAACTTCTACAACATCCCTGGCTCCCAGACCGCAGCCATCATCAACATCACCAAGACCTCCAACGTCAACGTCCCGGGGCGTTGGGTCTTCCAGGTGGACGACTTCAAGGTGACGGGGGTCCCCACCGAGGCGCCCAAGGTCGCTGACGGCAACGGCTGCTGGTTGTGAGTCGGATTTTGGGGATGGAAACCTCCAAAAATAGGGAGAAATGAGAATTTTTGGGGGGGAAATGGGTTCCTCTTCTTGAGTTTTGGGTTTCTTCTCGTAGGTAAATCGAGGCGCGCGGGGCGGAGGGACCGCCCCCATTGTCCCCGTTGTCCCCGTGGTCCCCGTCACCCCTCCCCCAGAGGACAAGGACGCAAAGACCTCTCCCAATGTTCCCCCAGAGGACAAGGACGCAACGACCTCTCCCAATGTAATAAAACCACAGCTGAGAAATTGCAGCTCCCGCGGCCTCTTTGCTTCCCCTCCCCCCTCCGCGTTTCGGGGCGGCTGGACCAAATTTGCCAAAATTCATCCTTTTTTTTCCACCTCTTTTGTCATTAATTTGCGAATCTTTGCTCCCCAGGTGCATAAATTTACTCTCTGCATACGCAAATACCTGGGGGGGGGTTGTGCCTGCATCCACAAATTTATGCTTTAGCGCCCTCCATGTCCACAAATTTCTAATTTTTTTAGCATTTCCACACGCAAATTTCTCGCTTTTCACCCTCTGCGGGCATAAATTTATGAAATTTTTTCACCCGCTTCAGGAATTTGTAATTTTTTTGCACCTCACGGGTGCAAATTTACGATTTTTGCACACCTCTCCGCTTGCATTTATGATTTTTTTCACCTCTCTGCGCAGAAATTTAACATTTCTCACACGCTGCAGAGGAATTTATTATTTTTTCCCCACTCTCTGCATATTTTTATGCATTTATTTGCCACTCGGGGCAGGTGAATTGATGATTTTTTTACTCAATCAGCGCAAATTTTGCACAAATTTTGCACACATGCACAAATTTAGGCATTTTTTTGCCTTTTTTTGTGAAGAAATTAATGAATTTTTGCCCTCTGCCTCCACAAATTTAGGATTTTTTTCCCTCCGCGTGCAAGAATTTATGATTTTTTGCCCTCTTTCTGCCCCTTTTTTTTGCCTCTGTGCCTGAATTTGACGCATTCTCCGCGCAAATATTTACGATATTCTCTCCTATTTGCATAAATTCACAATTTTTTTGCCCTTTGTGTATGAATTCCTGATTTTCTGATGCACAAATTTAGAATTTTTGCCCTCTGTATCCTGAAATTTACCGATTTTTGCCCTCTATGAGCACAAATTTATGATTTTTTTTGACATTCTGTGCATGAATTATTATTATTATTATTATTATTATTGCCAGTGTGCCTGATTTTTTTGGCTTCATGCATGAATTTATGATTTCTTGTACTTTGTGTCACGCATTTATGATTTTTCCCCCCTCTCTTTTGCAGAAAATGCCGCAAAAAATAATTTCCAACTGCTCTAGGCTCAATTTATTTATGATAATCGTGGATTTTCCCCCATTTCTGGGCATTTGCATGCGAGGACGCAGGGGCTGGGTTGTGCCAAAATTAATTTAGGGGGAAAATCCAAATTTTACAGGGAAAAAATCACCTAGGAATCCCAAATTGTGAATTTTTTCACCTAAATATCAGCTAAAAAAAAAAATTGGAATTATTTCCCCTGAAGGCGGTTCTTTCCCCTAAAAAGGATATTTTTTCCCTAAAGTGAAGGTGGTTTTTCACTGGAAATGAGAAAAAACATGCAACACATGACACACAACACGCAACACGCAACACACAGCACGCTGGTGTGCACAACACGCGACACACCCGTGTATTGACACACATGTGCAATGCGCACAACATGCTAGCATGCACAGCAGGACACGCGTGTGCACAACACGCCTTTGCACACCGTGCGATGCATGCGTGCAGCACAACACGCTTGTGCAGCGCAATGCTCAACACACACTGGGTGCGCACACAGCGTGCGCAACGCACAACACAATCCACAACACACATGTGCAACACAACACACGTGTGCAACACAGTACGTCAAAACACACGAGCGCACACATGCACAACACGCAGCACACGTGTGACACAACACACGCGTGCAACGCAACACACCACACACACAACATGCAACACACAGAGCACAAAACACGCAAGGTGGCACAAGCGTCCTCAAAACGTGGTGCCCACGACACGCTCTGACATGGCACAACACGCAAATTGGCACAAAATCCCAAGCCTTTGCACACCCGACGCCCCAACATGACACAACACACGCACAAAACACACAACGTGGCACCAACACCCCCAAAACATTACACCCGGATCACACTCGGACACGGCACAACACATGACACGCACCGCCCCAACATGACACAACACACGCACAAAACACACAACGTGGCACCAACACCCCCAAAACATTACACCCGGATCACACTCGGACACGGCACAACACATGACACGCACACAACACGCAACTTGGCACAAGCACCCCCACAACACGCTCCAACATGGCACAACACACACAACACACGCACTGCACACACAACACACAACTTCACACAAACATCCCCAAAATTTTGTGCACACAACACGCCTTGACATGACACAACACACACAACGCGCACACACAGCACACAACTTAGCACGAACACCCCAAAAACAAACCCACAACACACTCTGACATGACACAACACACAACACACACACACAACACGCTACTTGGCACAAACTCCCAAATCTTTGCATATTCCACACGCCCCAACATGACACGCGCACAACACCCAACTTACCACAAACACCCCAAAAACTTTGCGCACACGTCTTGACATGACACAACACGCAACTTGGCACCAACATCCCCACAATGTGGCACCCCCAACACACTCCAACATGGCACAACACACAAAACACACGCACTGCACACACAATATAGACCTTGGCACAGACACCCCCAAAAACGCGCACAAAACACGCTCTGGCATGGCACAACACACAACGCACACCCACAACACGCAACTTGAGACGAACACCCCAAACCTTCGCACCCCCGACACGCTGTCCCACGCCACCACACGCACACCACACATGACTCAGCGCAACCCCCCCAAATCCTTCATGCCCACAACACGCTCTGACATGACACAACACACAACACACATACACGTCACGCATCTTGGCACAAAATCCTGAACCTTCACACCCAAGACACGCTCCAACATGACACAGCACACACAACACGCACAAAATACACAACTTCGCACAAACACCCCCAAAACTTCACGCCCACAACACGACATGACACGACAACACGTGACATGACACGACACACAACACCCACACGCAACTTGGCACAAACACCCCCCAAAATACACCCCCAACACGCTCCAACATGACACGACACCCACAACACACCCACAACACACAACTTGACACGAACACCCCCAAACCCTCGCACCCCCGACACGCTGTCCCACGCCACCACACGCACACCACACGCGATTCAGATCAAATCCCCCCTCCCAAATCCTTCCCGCCCACAACACGCTCTGCCACGGCACCCACAACCCGCGCAACGCGCAGC